ACTGTGTATGTGACAAATAAAATTTGAATTTGAATTTAATATATGAAACTATATGGGAAAAATACAGTATGTGTTCATTTCAATTCAATTGTGATTATATATAACAATGTTACATATAACTTTTATGTAACATTGCAATACGGCGGTGGCTATCGGCAGAGATCACTCTGCTGTTTGGCCGGGATGTGATGTGATTTATTTCCTTTACATTTTTTCCACCATTACGAAATATCATCGTTAGGTTTATGCTGACACAAAACTATTGCTGGAACAGCCGAGACAATTTTACTGCAACTAGCAAAGCATAAGACACCAGGCTGAACTCTTTGTGTGATCTCGTGACCGAGACGAACGCTGTTCCTGCCGCTCGAACCCCAGTCACTCTCGGTCAGCTCCACTGTAGCACTGCCTTTTATTGTGGTTACATGAATATGCATGGTTTCATTAACATATGACATCTTAAACGGGCATACATGTGAACAAAGAGTACCAGTCTGGGTGTGCGTGTAGGTATGTGTGTGTGTGAAGAACGACTCCCCAAAGCTGGCGCCAGGTGTCCAGTGGTCCACCTAAACAAAGGGCCCTTGTACTCAAACAGATACAGAGTAGGTGTCCTCCCAAACTATGTCTCAGAAAGAGGAGGTACGACCTCTCTCATGACCTTAGGATGTGTGTGGTATGCCAGAGCACACAGACTCTTTGCAGACTACTAAGGATCAGACATTATAACACTATGCAATCGATTATATGTTTCTAAGTACAATTGACAATCATAAAATATCACTCCAACAATCATACTCTCTTTTGCTATAATTTAGAGCTGTAATTTATCAACATCAAACCTTTTCTTTAAAACTTTCCCTTCAGTTATCTTTTTCCTATCTGAAGTGCCCCCTGCTGGTACAATAACAGCAATGCACACAACACTAAGTGCTAGCTGCAGGATTGTTGGATTACACTCTGAAGCTGACATATGATTTAAAATTCATCGATGCACCGTCCATCCAAAATAAAGGGCCTGCTCAGCAAACACTGACACAGAAGAAGCGACTGACTGACTTTTTACAGATAACTCACCCAGCAGCTTTTTGGGTCCCCTCTGACAGTCCCTCTTCTTTCACCAGCTCCTCAAAGTTGACTATATCCTCCAGATCTGGGACAAATCTGAAGCAATAACGAAAAAGAAAATGTTTCCAGTAGCAAGATAAAAATGTTTCTGATGTAAAATCACATTTAAGCTCACGTTTACACAATATATCA